CCCCCCCCCTAGAAAAATGGAAACCCTCTTCCGGCTGATGAGGGAGATGAGGAACACTGGAGACGACCGCATCGTGGTCGTGTCCAACTTTACGTCCAGCCTCGACCTCATCGGCTCCATGTGCCGAGAAAACTCATGGTGATCATCATAGTGTCATGCTTTCGTGTAGCTTGCTTGCGTGCATTATGACCCCGTCCGGTCACCGGTCCCCCGTTAGTTCGCCAACTTATCCTCTCCCTGACCCGGCGAGAGCCTTGCGTGGTCTGATGTGTAGCGTCAGGTGTGGTGAGAAGGAACCTCCGTAATGGTTTATATGCATATGTCTGCGTTTTGGGCTGGCAATGGCGGTGCCTGGAGTTATCTCAAGAAGAGATGACGGCCAACGGTCAAGGAACGTTAATCTCGGGAGGCTAGAATTTTGTATTTCGCCTCCCCCCGATTGTGTGTCGACGACGACAATGGGTGGTTGTAATGAGTCCACTGCCCTTCTTCTGATTGATTTACGTTTCCAAATCGTCCTTGCCCCCGTCTGCGCTCTTGGGAAAACTTTCGTCCAAAGACACCGCGTTCCCCCCTTTCCTTCATTATTTTCAAACACGATTTGCCCCCTTTCGTCCACGCTTGGACAGGCCGTTCGTGCGATTGGACGGGAGCACGGGGGTGTCGAAGCGACAGAAGATGGTGAACGCCTTCAACGAACCCGGCCCTCAGAGCTTCGCCTTCCTTCTGTCCAGGTCCGGCGCTGTTACTGCTGCAGTTATTGTTGTTTTTTGTCGTTGCACTTTTGTTGTTGATGCTTCTGGTGCCGCTGCTGTTGTCGGTTGTTGACCAGCACCTGGTACATCCTTGTGAAGCGTTCAAGCCTTAGCCGACCAAAACCCGGCATATCACTTCGTCCCCGCATGGTCTAACCACTGATTACGGCATTCGTTTACATGGTTGCACCCCCTCCCCCCGCCGACACCCTTTCCCCCACACTAACCTCGTCCCTCCTCGGCGCTTCGCTCTGCTCTGCCAGCAAAGCAGGAGGGTGCGGGCTCAACCTGATCGGTGGCAACCGTCTGGTGCTGTTCGACCCAGACTGGAACCCCGCGGTGGACAAGCAGGCGGCGGCGAGGGTCTGGCGCGACGGGCAGAAGAAGCGGTGCTTCGTGTACAGGTTTGTCACGGCTGCGGCAGCCGATCCAGCAGCAGCATGGTTGTAACCACAGTATTGGAAGAGGAGAGTAATGACCACGGCAGCAGCATGGTTCTGGTAGTAGTAATGATGGGAGGAGTAGCAGTGTAAGTAGTTGTGGTTGTTTCCTTTACGTTTTCCGACAAGTTCTTTGGCCAGGGGGAAGCGGACACACGGACCGTGGGGGGTGATGCCACTGTTTGATCCCCTAGCCTCAGAGGAGGACTGGCATCAAACATACCTGATGGTTTTACGGAAAATAGGCAATCTTTCTCAGCGCTGTTGCGCAATGAGGACATCAGTTTTTGCGTAGTCAGGGACCCTTCTTCACTTGTTTCGTGTACCTACAGGTTGGGTTTGTCACCGTGTCGTTTTGTTGCGAAAAGAAAGAAAAGTCAGTGGTTTTGTTGCGAAAAAAGTGAATAGTCAGTGTTTTTGTTGCGAAAAAAAAAAAATGCCAATGGTTTCGTTGCGAAAAAAATGAATAATCAGTGGTTTTGTTGCGAAAAAGGAATCGTCAGTGGTTTTGTTGCGCAATACCGTGCGGTCAGGTACCCTGCTGCGAGCATCGTCACAAGCACAACGTCACATGGCGGAAAACGACTGATTCACGCATTGTCGCGAGAGGACGATCACAGCCAGGATAACAGCAAACACCCTCCCCCAATACTACTCGAAATTCCAATGCCGCCCGATGCTACCCATCGGTGGTCGGTCCCGTGGGACCAATGCCCCGTCCTCTCGAGGACACGTGGCCAACGGTCTAACAGCTAAGGCATGCCATACATGAGTACCCCCCTTCCCCAATGCCGCCCTGCTTGGGGGTAGCATGTGAGTGTACGACGGAGGAGAACGTGTCCCGCCTGGAGGTAGCTCTACCCCTCCCTCTTTGAGACGTTCGTCTGACCCCCCTTTTGTGAAAACGCCTCCGTTATGAATAGGTTCGTGTCTACGGGAACGATCGAGGAGAAGGTGTTTCAGAGACAGCTTTCCAAGGAGGGGCTCCAGAACATCGTCGACGACAAGGAAGAGGTGCGTTGCTTCTGCTGCTGTTGCTGCTACTGCTGCTACTTCTGCTCTGCCGTTGCTTTTGTTGTTGCTGTTGCTGCTGCTGCTGTTGTTGCTGCCACTGCTACAGCTGCTGCTGCTGCCATGTGTTAGCCTTGCCACCCTTTCTTTTTCTTGCTCCTACGACCCGTCGCCAACGATTGATGTGTTGCCTTCATGCTAAACGCGTTAGACAGCACAACCGAAGCGGATTGCTGAGTGCGACACAGATAGCAGTGAATGTCGAGCGAATTGCGGATTTTTCGAAGTCCGATTGGGATAGATGAACAGGCGGGGGGTTGAGACGGGTTTTGGCAGACTTTTCCCCTCTTGGACGCCCCTCAGTGAACGTATCTCACATGGCTTCATCTCCTTTGAAGATCCAATGGCCTCCAGACCAGCGTGAGCTCAATACCCGACCTCCCGGTGCACACGCATCCACCGAAGGATCTGAAAGTCCTGCTTGTTTTTGAAGCCGGAGTTATCCCCCTTCGTGTAGAAACACCCTTAGCAGGATGCAGCGCACCCTTCATGCGACTCGCTGAATACCTCACGGCGCTTCGCGCTTGGTGATGAGAGCCTGGTCCGGTGAGAACCCGGCGTGCTCCGTCCCGGCTTTGTAGGGATGCGAGGTCAATGGTCTAACGACTACGGCATGCACGACTATGACTACACCCCCCCCCTCCCCGTGTAGCAACAAGCGTTCCTTCGCCCCCGCTCCCCCGTGTGTACGCCGCGATGTATCAGGTGAACTCCCTGTCGTCGAAGGATCTGAAGGACCTGTTCAAGCTGTATGAGGGAACCCCTTCGGACACCCACGACAAGCTTCGCTGCAAGAGGTGTGGTGTTAGGACTTGCGACATATGCCTTGTGCTGCTGGTGTTTCCGTTCGCTACGCCTTTTGTGGGGGGTAGAAAAGAGGAGAGTTGTCCACCGGTTTCTTTTGTGTGATGTACATCCAAGCGCTGTGGATAACAGCGTATCCGTGTATTATTTCGTGTAGCTGCAGTAGGTAGATTGGTGTGCTGCAACGTGGCACTCACGCGTTCACCTCTATTCCGTTCTAATGAAACCTGGTTTACATCAGTTGTCCGACGTGTGTAGAAGGGCTGCTGATGCTGACGCGTCCTGTGCACTCCGTTCGTACAGCTCTCTCCCAGGACTCTCAGCACCAACAAGCAATATACAACCTCTTCGCCCAAAATAAGAGTAATGCTGTACCACGATTTTGAAACAAAGGCTCGATAATGTAGGGGCCTACATACCCTCCATACCTTAACATCAAACACATTTGACCCTGCGACGGAAAAACAGGTGCAACATCGACGAGGCCGTTCAGGCGGTCAAGGACATCGACGAGTCGGGGCTGCGGCGGGCGCTGCCCCAGCAGCTGGCCCTGTGCGAGGAGCTTCTTTCCGAGCTGTCAGCGCTTCCGGAGGGGGCCACGTTCTTGCACCAATGGGTAAGATGTCGGCGGTTTGATGTTACTGTTGTTGTTGTTGTTGTTGTTGTTGTTGTTGTTGTTGTTGTTTTTTGTCTTTCACGGCAAGCCAGTTCGGACCCAGCTAAGTTCTTATTGGACGGGGAGGTGGTGTTTTGGCTGTGGCTGTGGTTGTGGATATTGTCGTCGTTGTTCGGGGTCTTCAACGGCAGAGGCGTTTTTGTCCCTAACAAACTCTCTCCCAGTTCGGACACAGTTGAAACTGGTGGCGCCGTCTTGCGGCAAGAGCAACAAGATCCGGTTACTCTCCACTTTGGCCGCTGACAAAAGTATTCCATGCCATCCTACATATGTACATATCGCCAAACATGCTGCTCCATTAGAAACCAAAACACTTAACAAACACAATTCCGTTGCCCTCACTTGGTTGCTGACTAAATCATTACATCCCATGCTACATACGTGACCATGCCGCTCCATTGGAAACCAAAACCCATCGACCAAATCAACAGGATCCGGAAGAAGAAAACGTGACGGCAGAGAACTTCGCGAACGCAGTCCACGAACCGATGGATTTCACCAAGATCGCCGCCAGGCTCCGGGCATCTACTACATCCACCCTGGAGCAGCAGCAGCAGCAGCAGCAGCAGCAGCAGCAGCAGGCTGACGGCGGCGGGGACATTGGCGGGGGGCAGCACGCGGACGCTTCAAGACCACCCTTGTCCGACGTTTCGGACGGAAACGGTGGGGAAGCGGCGGCGGCAGCGGCGGCAGACGTGCCATCTCCCGATGCGGCCGCGGGGAGCGCCGGCGCCGCTGCTGCCGGTACCCCGGCCGCGCCGTACACGAACGTGCCGGCCTTCACGAGGGACATGCGGCTGGTGTTCCAGAACGTGCAGCGGATGTGGCCCCCCGGGAGCATCGGCGGGGAAAACAGACTCACCAAGGCCGCGGACGCGCTGAAGCTGGCGTTCGAGATGAGGTGGAGCGCGCTCGCTCCGCGCGTGCACAGGGTTCAGGTGGGAGGTTGGTTGCTGTTGTATTTTTGTTTGTTGTTGTTTTTTATTTAGTGGTGCTGCAGAAAGCATGAACGATACGCAGGGGTCAGGCGGGAGGTTGGTTGTTGTTGTTGTTGTTGTTATTGTTGTTATTATTGTTATTGTCGCTGTTGCTTACGTCGGTGCTGCTGCAGAAAGCGAGCACGAAACACACAGGGTTCAGGTGGGATGTTATTGTTTATTTCTGTTGTTTTCGTTGTTGGTGCTTACGTCTGTGCTGCTGCAGAAAGCGAGAACCGAAACAATGAGGATCAAAAACACCCTTTCGGCGGCGAACGCCGGAACACGCGCCTAACAAACGTACCTTTGTGTTCATCCCCTCTCGAGACGACCCGCTGACTCTCTCTCATGCGCAATTCCTCCTTGTAATGAATCGCGCCACGGTTTTTGGCGATGACGACGTTGGTGGCTGTGCATGGTGGGGACAGAGGGAGGCGCTGGAGACCGCGAGATTGGAGGCTAAGGATAGGGAGGCGCGAGAGAGGGGGGAGGACTGGGCTCCGCCCGCCAAGTTTCAGGTGTGGGGTTGTTTTCTCAACGGCAATACAGTGGGTGGCCCGATATAGTGCCGGTTGAATAGTGCCGGTTGCCGGTATAGTGCCGGTGTTTTCGGCTCGCACACACCGGAATATCAAGTCTTTCTGTACTCTGAATAGTGCCGGTGCCCGGTATAGTGCCGCTTTGCTCTCTGAACACATACCGGCACTATAGAGGGCCCCCTACTGTACTTGCTGCCGTCGTGGAATTTTTCATTGTACTGCCCCTTCCCAGGGGGTACCTGCAGTATCTCGAACGTGCAGTATCGTTTTTTTTGGCCGCCGCCGGGGCTTTTGCGTTGCCGCCGCTGTGAATACTGCTTCTGCCGCCCTCGCCGCTGGTGCTGGTGCTGGTGCTGGTGCTGGTGGTGCTGGTGGTGCTGGTGATGATGATGATAGTGCTGCGGCTGTTGTTGTTTATCGTGCTTCTGCTGTTGCTGTCGATTGTGCCGCTGCTATTGTTGTTAATGCTACCACTGCTGTTGTTGATCGTGCTGCTGATATGCCAGGAGCAAATGGGGATGCCGAAGGAAGAGGACCTCAACTCCTGGAGCCACCACTATTCCACAGACACGGCGGATGACCCGGTGTTCCGGGGAGCGATGGTGAGGGACGGAATGACAACACGTCGCCACCTCCCGTACTACAATTGTATATATCTCATCACTCTTCGGCATTTATATTTTCTTGCTGATACTTTTTTTTTTAAGCGAAAAATCGCTCATATTTTAGCACTTTGTCAACGGTAGGTGTAGTGTATCTAAAAGAATTGGTGCTCCGTCACGTGTACCGTGTATCACCACGTTCATTAGCTGTTTTTTTGGTAATTTGTATGATGCTAGAGCTGGTTCTCCGTCGTGTCGCTGCAGCAGTGGAGAGCGACGAAAATCTTCGCCCCCCCCGTGGGCGGACCCCCCTCACAGGGGCCAAAACAACAATTGGGTGTTATCGCGGTAAGACAAAGAGCTCTGTTCTCCCCTCTGGGTTCGTAGATTCAGACCCGAAAAGCCTGCTCTCTCGAAATCCCTGGTGCCTAGTACACCAGGACTCACTCCTCTCCCCCTTTTTGTGACCTGCATCGAAACGCTGGTGAACGGGACTAGGCGTAAAACACCAGGGCTCACCCTCGCTCACCCTTCTTCCATCCTGTATCGGGAACCCTCGTGACTCGGGGCTGGCTGTAACGCTACGGCTCACCCGCTCTCACCCTTTTTCTAACCTAGCGACCACGGCCTGGCCTGCTTCATTCCCCCTCGCCTCTCCTGACTGTGGTTTGGTTTGCACACGTAGATGGGCACCGGGGACTCTTTGGTTAGCTTCGTGTTCGGCCTGGAGGTGACCTGGGACTTGCTCTCGGTGCAGCTGGAACAGGAGGCAGAAGGTGATTTAGAACGAAGTTCGATAGTTGGTTCCATCAGTTAGTTCTTTCGGCTAGCGACAGGACGAGAAAGCTGGCAGTTGTCTGCTACCGGTTGCGTTCATGCACAGATTCATGTTTCGTTCATGATAGCTTGTTCGTGAGTTTGCATCAACGTCGGCAGTGGTCACACAAGATGTATTCGTCGGAATTGCGAAGCAGTCAAACAATTTGTGGTTTGAAAAAATGAGCTCCTATTTGAGTGTGGCGGATTTGTTCTTGGCCCTCCTCTCCATTGTCTGTCCGTCTGTCAGTCAGTCAGTCTGTCTGTCTGTCTGTCTCTCTCGCTCTCTCTCTCCCTCTCTCCATTTCTGTCTACCTGCCTGCCTAACATTCAACACCACCCAAACATCCCACGAAACAACGATCTACCTAGCCCGGACCCTGGATATCAAGGTCAAGAACGACGCGCGAGCAGCACGGGCCGCCGAGAAAAAGAAGGCCGCGTCTACCGCGACCGCCGCCGCCGCCACCGCCGCCGGCACCGGCACCGACGACGACGGCGATGTTGGCGACGGCGCGGTTGTTAAGACCGAGGGCGGAGGTGGCAGCATCACCAAGGGCAACAGGAAGAAGAGGAAGAACGACGGTGCGTGTGGCGGGGATGGGCGCGAGGTGGAAGGTTCGACGGTGGGGGTGGATGGTGGCGGCGCGGCGGCCGGCGGAGGAGGTGAGGGCGGCGAGGATCCGGAGGTAGGGGACGGGGGAGTGGAGATGGGGACGGGGGGGGAGGAGGAGGAGGAGGAGGGGAGGAACAAGGAGGAGGAGGAGGAAGGGGAGGAGGACGAGGAGGACGAGGAAGAGGAGGACGAGACTTGGATGGACGAGGAGGGTGACGGGAGCAAGGCTACGGTGGCGCCGGCAAGTGGCAATCGTCGAAGGAAAGGTGAGAAGGAAGAGAAGCACCGAAAACGGGGACTGAAATACTGCAGTAGTAGCACGCTCCGCCGCCGCCGTGTGGATGCATCCGAAACACATTCGCGTTGCTTTGTAGCGGCAGATACCCCTCTTGTCTCTTGTCTTGTTTGTAGACCGGACGAGAGGCGTGTACTTGTGGATTCCGACCAGGTGTATCAGGAGACCTTTGTGTCGAACAGGCTCTAGCCGAACCCTTGCTGGTGGATATGGGGATTCTTCAGCGAGGGAACGAGCCACTCCCTACGCCGGTTTCAACGGAATTTGAATTTCCCACCTGACTACCCGCGGGTTGTGTAAAGCTGTGTCTCAAGATCTCCCGGGAAGCAGCTTGCAGCCCTTAAATAGCGAGCACCGAGCAGGGCGTTCAACGAAGCATGTGCAGGGAAACGCAAGGTACGTCAAGGACTCCGTATCGCTCAGCTCACAAGATGGCAATGTGCGTGTCTGCATCGGCTCTCACCCCGGCCCCGTCTTATGCTCCCCATTTTTGGCAACCGCCTCAGTGATGGAAGACGAAGAAGACGAAGCAGACGAAGAAGACGACGACGACGACGACGGTGAGCAAGTGGTGGCGCCTACGGCGGAGGGGGAGGGTACGCAGATCGAGGGGGCCGCGGCGAATACTCCCGGCGGTGAAGAGGAGAGGGGTGGTGGTGGTATCGGCGGCGACACCGAGGAGGAGGAGGAGGAGGAGGAGGAGGAGGAGGAAGAGGACGAGGTGTTGGAGACGCCGCCTCTTGTTGGCTCTGCCGAAGGTGCGAGGAGGGACGTCATTTTTTGTTGTTGTTTGCTGCTGTCGACACCGTCGTCGTTGTCAGTGTTTGTTGCCCATCTTGCGTATTGACTCATATGGCAAGCGAATTAGTTCAAAGTCAGGTAGATAATAACAAAGGTTGCGTCCAACAGTAGTCGTTTTTTGACCGCAGTAAGAATCGTCTTTGTATTTTTTTCGGGGTTAGACTGTATCTCACTACCGCACGCTGTTGATAGTGAAATGTATCGAGGGGGCCAGATTGTTTTGAGATGAATGTCCCTCTTGCCTCTAATAAACGGGAACTTTCAAGGACGCGTTGGCCTTTACTTTGAGATTCCCAAAAAACTCTTGCCCAAGAAGGAACAGGTGCCCAAGCTTTCACGGATTCCACAGTACACCGAGCATTAACTTGGTGCTGACCGCAAGACGAGTTCCCCCAACCAGACGAAGAAGTTGATGGCCAACGTATTGTTGAGCCCCCATCCCCTTTCCCATGACGCCGTATCAACTTCCACGATGCCGCGGTGCCCCCACCATACCGCAGCGGGAGAAGAGGATTGGAGAGTTCCCACAACCGGTGCCAGCGAATCCGCGGCGGCAGGAGGGGGCCCAGCAGCAGCAGCAGCGGCTGCAGGGGGGGGTGGAGACAAAGAGAACTCCTCCTTTCGGAGCCCGCCTAGCAGGCACGGAGAAAACCGGGACGCTAGCAGCAGCAGCGTTAGCAGGAGAAGGGAGAGGACAGGGGTATCGAGCGGTGCTGCGGCGCAGGGGAGCGGCGGTGTCGGCGGGTGAGGAGGACGTTAGGGGCCCCGTGGGAGCAATTACGGTTGGTACCACCGTTCTTTTTCGCGGGGGGGGGGCGGGGTTCTCATGGGAAGCAGAGACGGACAGGGGGAAAGGTTTTTGCGCCACTCCCGGGAGGGGATTTTCGACGGGTGCTTGCTGCTACCTACGTCTCCAGTTTGTTTTCTCTTCCGGATGCATTCGTTTCCTACATTGGCGTTTGCTGCGGTGGCGTACTCTACAGGCCGCCTGCAATCCCACAGTTCCGAACCGATGGCTGGCATGTCTTCCCGGCGTCGTCGGCGGAGATGTTGATGTCGAAAGTTTTTTTGCTCGCTGCAGCGGCATCGAGCATGTTGTTGCCGCATGGCGCCACGAAGCCTCCTCCTATATGGCCCACACCCCCACTTGTACTAAATCGCGGGTCTATTCTTTGAGTTTTTTTTTTTTTTTCTCCCATCATTGGACTCTGTCGTCTGCCCCTCTGGCCCCTATCCTCCACTTCTACTAGCTAGACGACCCAACCGGGGTCACATAGGAGGGGGGGGTTGGACCCCCTCCTGCAGTATGGCGCCCTGATGATGGTTCGCCTGCTCCGTTCCTGTTTTCTTCTGACGTAACGACGCACCGTGCTGCTACTGCTGCTGGCTGCTCTTGCTACTGCTGCAGCAGCGAGAAGAAGGAGTGGCTGTGTGCCGTGTGCACCTTCGCGAACGCCTTGTCGACACGGAAGTGCATCATGTGCTTGACAGGCTGTCGCCCCCCGGGGATGGGGCGCTCGAATCCCCTGTCCCCGCGATCGTCCGGCGATGCGAATAGGGGACGGGGGCAGGAGGAGGAGGAGGGGGACGACGACGACGACGACGAAGACTTCGTGAGCGCCAAGAAGAAGGTGCGGGGTAATCCTTATTGTTGTTGTGTTTTGTTTTTGTTTTTGTTTTTTGTTGTTGTTTGTTGTTGCTGCTGTTGTTGCTGCTGTTGTTGTTGTTGAATATAACTCCCAAAATAAACCACTAACCTTGAAAATTTATCGCGCAAGTTTCACGCCAATAGTCTTCGCAGGGTTTTTCGGCGAAGAAAACATTTAGGATGAAGCATGCAATCGGGGAAGTTGGGTCGGGTTTGTGGTTAGGGAATTGGGTCTGCGTCCGCCCTTCCTGTTCTACTTGCTCAGAAAACTCGTTTCTCTCGCGAAGGCGGTCCTTTCACGCAGGGCGTTCAAGAAGACGCAATGTTGTGAAAAACGATAGCACGCACAGAATCGATCCCCTCGCGCGGCCACCGCAATGTTGTTGCTATTGACACAGCGGACCAACCAGAGCAAGAGCAACAGGGACGGCAAGGGGAAGAAGGGCAACGGCAAGTCCCCGCGAGAGACGGCGGGCAAGAAGGAGCAGAAGCCGGCTAAGGAGAAAAAGCGCAAGAGAGAAATCTGGATAGACGACGACGAAGACTTCGAGTAGAGAGCCACCGCCGCCATCGTCACCGCCGTTGTGTTGTAAATCCCCGAGTACCGCGCAGTCTTTCTTGTTCATGGGGTCGATTCGCCGGAGCCCCCTCTGGTCTAGGGGTCACTCGATAGGCACCCCCAAGACTCACGGTCATGCTTTGTTTTGGTCCGGATTCGATAGCCTTCTTATGTTCGAACCCTTGGACGTTGCTCCATTCAAGGAGCGGGGTGGAGGGGGCTACCTGATGGTAGAGCATGTGCCAGCCTCGTGGCCGTCTCGAGAAGGGTGTGGGACTGCTTTTGCGTGTCGTCAGCACGGCCGCGCTTTGCGTGTCTCGAGCACGCACCTTCAATGTACAACACTTCGTGCCACCACCACGGGGGAGGAAGTATAGCGGTGTGCGCCAAAAGTGAAGCGGAAGACTTCCGTGTTGATTAGTTGCCACATGTTGCCGTTACCCCGGCAGATATCGCCCCACGTCCCTGGGCGAAACGACTAGTTTACCCGCAGATATTGCTCCGGTGTAGAGTACAAATAGTGCTGCTGTTGCGCTTACTTGACCTCCGGGAGTTACAAATATCCTTCCAACTCGGGCTGCTGGTCTGTGAGACTCGGTTGGTTTTGGTTCGATCGTTGTGGCGCTATGTTGCCGTGTAGTTTATGTGCCGTTTGGTTGTTACTCACGCAATGTATATTTTTGAAGGATGCAATAGTCGACGTCGAGCATGTTGCTATCAGCGTCCCTAGGATGGCTTTTCAGCGTGTCTTTCGGTGGTTGCACGGCCGCTTGTGCTCTGTTTCGGTTGCGATTTGGATACGGAGGTTTCGAAACGATATCGTTTGGTCTCCAAAATCAGGCGGGATCTCTCGCGTGTATTGTATAGCGAGGGGTTGCCCACCCATTCCCGCCCTCCCCTCCGTGTATGTTGGTTGTTGGCCAGCTGGATTCGTTGCATTCGTTGCAGCCGTTTTCCTTGTTGGCACTCGCAGTTAGGATGGAAGGAAGACAGTCGCATCTAAGTTGTTTTCGTGAGTTGGGTGCAGTCGCCATCTTTGCATGCAGCCAATCCTGGTCCATTTGATTACTATGTTGTTTGGTGCTGCCGTGTGCCACGAATGTCGGGTTCAAAGTGCATGTAGAGGTTCGTGACCGGGTGTGTTCGTGCTGTCGTAGAATTTACACCTGTTATGAGCGTATCGTATCTGGTGTCCAGCGTTTTTGTGCGTATAGACTAGTGGGTGTCAACCTGCTTGTTATGTTGTTCACACGTGGGAAGGCGAGAGGGAAGGCCGAAGAAATAGGATACTGGGAGGGCGTTTTGGCCGGTTGCAACACGTTTGTTGATACAAGTGGAGCGAATTTGGCCGAATGCACTGTTTTTGGCCTAGGGTGCCTCTTGTGTTCATGACACTTTTGGGGGTAATGAAACCCATTCCCGTGAAGCGTGAACGCATTTTCTCTCTGTTCTACAGGAGAGCTGGATTATCAGCCTCCTGCTGCGATAGGTCGCACTCCCAGAGCTCATTTTGCTCTTCGTTCGCGCCCTCGTGCAACGCTGCTGTTGTTGGACACCATTCATGTATCATTTATCGTACACTTCCATAAAATCGACACATTTGTTTCGGCACCTCGCCTTGTTGGTGTGTAAATGACGCAGGACGTTCCAATTCCCAATCCCATGAAAACCTTGCATAACTGATGCCCTTGTTGTATTCATTCACCGATACATGTCGACAGGGCCTTCAAACTCTCTACAAAAGTGGTACAATAAGACTATCAATGTCTTCACATTCAAAAATATACTATACCTGGTAGACGAAATGAAACTGCAGTCGAATCCGGCCAGACACGCCGGAGTAAGGTGTACGGAAATGAGAGTTTTTTATTCGATCTTGGTCAACGACGCTGGAGTTCCCATATACTTGGCGCGTAAGCCCCACACTCGCGGTATAGGTTGCGTCGACAGCAGTAGGACAGAGCCACGCGCGGGCAAAAGAAAGATCGTGGCAAGGTATACACCGGTAGATCTGGCCCCCACTTGTAATACAGTCTGCGTCTCCCCGACATGAAAAAAAATGCGCGAAAAACTCTCACACACGCACCCGACCTTTTTATTGTCTCTCTTGCGCACGAGACCGCCACAGGGGTAGCCGCTAGAAACCATGATGTGGGCGCCATCCCTATCTACGGAGATACCAAGCCCCAGCACTCTGGGAAAGCTGTTTGGCTTCAAGTGCGCCGACAACGGCTGCCACCAGACCCCCAGCAGCAGGGGGAGAGGTTTCTGCTTGAGTGACGGGGTCAAGCCGGAAAATGAAGACTGTAAACCTTCCTCCGGTCAGGCCACGGTGCCCTCGGAGCCTGGCGCATGCTCGGAGCCTGCCGCGGAGATCACGGGGGATTGCACGGAGCCGTCGGGCCAGCACCCGGAGCCTCTAATAGCCGCCCCTGCTGCTGGATCAGGGGGGACTGTCTCAGGTACGCTGTGTGTCAGTTGTGTGAGCACGGACATACAAAACCTCAGTGTGCGTACCCCCTCGGATGACAGTCTCTCTCTCTCCGCGGCACGCGCGCCGCGTGTTTTGTAATGGGCCGGCGTGTAGCACTAGGGATTGCTGCACCCTTCTCGCGATGAAAATATGTCAGGCAGGAACCGCAGGAGGGGGTCCAACCCCCACCTCCTGTGTGACCCCAGTTAGGTCGTCTAGCCAGTAGAAGTAGAGGATAGGGGCCAGAGGGGCAGACGACAGAATCCAATGATGGGAGAAAAAAAAAAAACTACCAGAAAGAACGAGGCGATGAAAACGACACACTCCGTAGTGGTGCTGATCGGTGCACGCTGTGCGTGCTTTCCTTACAACTTCCTGGCACTTACTCCATGTAAGTCGTAATATTGGTCTTGGTAGGCTTGAGGAACCGCGCGAGAGAGAGGCTGGCCGCCTGGCCGCTCGGTCTCCTTGCCTCTTTCACCGCCGTTCAGGAGGAGTGTAGCACGCTAGCGATGTGTGAACATGGCGCGGAAAAGAGCGCGCACCCAACACTCGCGCCTATCCATACTTGATGAAGAAGATATGGTACACGAATCAGGTTCACACGTCCTCTCTGTGTAAAGTTTTGTATACCCGCTCTCTTTGTCCCACGGGATCGAAGTGGGCATCATACTTCGTAGACTACACCATGCTGCTTGGTGTGCGGTTCTCTTGCGGCATGCCCTGTAGTCCGCCGAGTATCCACGGGTCGCCCCAGTGGTCTAGTGGGTAGCCACGCGGTCTCCTAAGAGCCAGGTCATGGGTTCGAGTCCCGACAGAGTTTTTTTCTCGCTAATTAAATCCTGGTCTTCGTAGGAAGCAACGCGCTGCAAAGCTCGTTGTTCGTAAACTTGATCGACTTCATATGTCGCGAGGAAAGGGATTGCTGTACCCTTCTTGCGATAAAATTATCTCAGGCAGGAACCGCAGGAGGGGATCCAACCCCCTCCCTCCTATGTGACCCCGGTTGGGTCGTCTAGCTGGTAGAAGAGGAAGATAGGAGCCAGAGGAGCAGACGACAGAGTCCAATGGGAGAAAATAAAAAATGTAGATATATATAGACTATATTCATGGAGAGACGACATCTGTGAATCATGCTCCCGCCCCAAGTTTAGGATGAGTTTCATCATAAATTTATAGACTACACCGAATCTTGCTCCCAGTCAAGAATTGAAGAAGCGGATTCGTCCAATTCTGGATATTTCAAACCCACAAATGTAAATCTTGCATGGGACGCGCTATGTATTTGTACATGACAATCGGAGAGGACACACACTGAAAGGCTCGGCGCGACAGCCCCAACGGTCTTCTGCTTGAAAGTGGACATTCCTTGGGAAGTTGCCGCGGCAAACATGGGAGCAACCCGCTTGTAGCGTACTTCAAAGCAAACGAGAGGGCGTCTATAACTGCTCTACCAACCACATGAAGGGAAAGTAACTCGCTGTGTGTGCAAGTGGCGGTGAAATGGTGTTTGTATCGAGAGTATTGGCAGTTGCGGTGCGTACCGTAGGCTGCAATTTGGTTCCGGATCACCCAGCTGGATTTTCTACAAGCATAGTCTAAAACCTTCGAAGCAGCAACATGTTCAAGCAAGAAAGATTGTCCGCACACTTGTTTTTTATGTCGATCGGCGCGGCGGATTCGATGTTTGCGTTGTCAGGATTTTTAAGGGTATACAGAAAAGTAGCAAAGAAGAATAGGGAGGGGGCACGCAGACCCTATTCCTAACCCTAACCCCAAAGCACGGATTGACTCGTACTTTGACCCATATGTTTGCTTCATCAAGTTTGCTGTGTGGACTACTACCGGCGCGGGGAGGGGTCAGTCTGTTCGAAACAAGCGATCGACTACTGCTACTACCTCTGTTGAGGCCATAAACTCGAAACTGACGTGCCTGTATTGTCAGGGTATGATTTCTCCGGTAAGACTCGTGCTTTCACCGACGGTTGTTGCGGAAGCATGTGCGCTGTTGATGCCGCAAGAAGCCAACGCCACAGCTCGTAGATTGCAAGCGAAATGGTCCCTTGTCCACTGCCGAGTTTCAAAACTGCTGTAGAATTCAACATGTAGCTTTCAGCCTCCTCTTGGGGATACCCCTCAAATATTATGCAGTCAGAGACGCGACATCTCATGCAGTCAAGAGCTACGACATCTCTCGTGTCTGCGTTAGGCATGTCCCCAAGCGGGACCTGCCACTGCTGTCCTTACGTGCGGGTTGCCAGCAGCAGACAAGGCATTGCAGATTTTCCGTTGAATCGCGCGTGGGGCTTGTTGGAAAGTATTACGTCGCAAAACATATGGCCGGGGAGTACAGTTGCCTCGTCACCACTAGACTATGTGTCGGTTACTTTCATTGAGCGTATGCCCCGCGCGGTGAGCAGGGTGTAGTCCGCACCCGAACAAGCTCGTCTGGGGTTGTGGGGTTTACCCTTATTTCCGTGTTCTCGTTTCAAAGACGTCGTCCCTCGCTTTGCATCTGTCTTTCCTTGGCACCGAGTCGCCGCAAAAAGTGGCCCGGGTATACGCTGAGCACCGCAGCCCCCCTCCCCTCCCCCTCCCGTAACCTAACAAGAACTCAGTTACCACATGTTTAGCATACTGCCACCGGGCCCATGCGTCGGGGGCTCGTTAGACCAAGTCTTGTACATATTCAGTCAGCTTCCTGAGCCTACTGCCATAGGGCCAGCCAACTGCCATAGGGCCCATGCGTCAGAGGCTCGCTAGGCCATATGCTGTACAGATTCAGTCAGCTTTCGAAGCCAATTCGCAGTGCGCGTTCATCCAACGACGCAATTTGACGACAGCAGCAAACGCGCACATAGGTCTGGACGATAAGGGTGGGACTCGGGGGAACAGGGACGGGAGGGCAAGGTCCGAAGGTTGTAGATCAGCAGTGCGGACATTTCTCTCTGGCGACATGGATTGCTGCAACGGTCATCGCGTGCGATTTGTGTTCATCGCCCGAGATTGCCGCTGCTGGACTTGATGGTTGAGGGAGGCGAGAAGCGATGCCCCCCTATGGTCTTTCAAAAGTGACAGAATGCATCCCCCCCCTTCTCGCCTCGATGTTCGTTGCTCTCCTTTTGCACAGGAGAGGACATCACGTCGGAAGATGCCATACTACCTTCCTCAGAGCGCCTTTCATCCGCAGCTGAAATAGAATTGGCGTCCGAGCCTCCGGAGCCTGGAGAGCCACAAGCCCACACCGATGACGAAGAGCCCTTGCAGGCTGTGGAGCTGCAAAGCGAAGGACAGCAGTCGCGGCAGCCTTCGCAGCCTTTGGCCAGCCCTTCATCGGTACCGGCGTCGGGTGAGAGATCAACCGAGAGTGCGAGCCTGGCTGTGCCGTGCTTTGCGTGGCGGGCTCGCGTGTGCAACGATTGCGCCGACGGCGGAAGTAGTAGTGGCGCTGCAATTCACGTGTGGTTGGCCGTGAACACGATGCTCTTATCACGATGCGCACCACACTTGATGACCATGGCGGCAGGGGGCCACGCGAGAGAGCCCGAAAACTTCTCTCTCTTTCTCACACACGGTTAATGGCGTTTCGAGGTGTTTTGTGTTTTGGACCGCACTGAGATTGACATCTTTTCATTGGTCAGTCGTGTAGCGCGATCGATGCTAGTATTAAGAACTACATACACACACCATGGACACCCGATACAGAACGCTTACAACAGTTCAATAAGACAACTGCAGACTGCTCCCTGAGCGCGATTCTTGCGGGCTATTGGCCGAGTTACGGTTGTCAACGTGTGATGTCCATGCTGCGCCGTTTGTGACTACCGCCTATGAAGACCACCGGTTGGTCGAGAAACGACCCCCCTTTTGGGTGACAAGAATGTATGCCCCCTCCTGCGCCTCTCTTTTCATCGCTGGCTTTCTCTCCATCCAACCAGGAGGTGATACCACTTCACACGGCATCGTGCCTCCCGAAGAACCCGTTTTGTCTGAGCCCGAAGAGCAGCAAGGTGCCGAGCAAGAGCAATCGCGTCAGCCCTCGGTGCCTTTGGCGAGCCCCGCAGCATCGGTGTCAGGTGAGGATGCATCCGGTACCTCATGCGCCGTAGCACGGCCGTGTCGCGTTTTTTTGGCACATCTTCATTCGCGTGCGTATAACGGGAACAACAACGAACGTGGTAGAGATGTGCGCGCAAAGTGGCGCTGTGATGCGCTTGCGCCGTGACCGGGATGTGCTTGTCGTCGTAAGCTTCCTCCAATTGGGCCGCTAATTCCATTTTTTTTGTGGCGGCGGAAGTATCCTGCTGATTCCCGGTCCGTTTCCAAGACACATTCGCCCATTGGTTCTAGCTGTGGCGAGGTCATCATCCTGGCACCGCTGGCGGCCTCGCAGACGTAGGTTCAGGGGCGGAGCGGCGTTACACATACATACCGCCGTCCACCTTCAGCGCCAAGCGGCTGGACACACTCGCGACCGTAGCTACGCCGGCGTTGAACACCAAACCGCCACCGAAGATGAGATCCACCGCATCATTCTGGGGGGGAGAAAGAAAAGCGATGCGCA